TGCTTTTTGTTCTCTTTCAGTTTTTAGGAGCTTTCTTTAATATTTTTTACTCTTTTTACTATTATCTGCCTAAACATGTTTTCTTATATCTTGTTTCAGATTCATAGCTCTTCTCCAATATATAACTTGATATCTTTAATCTGCTCTGAAAAATTACAGGCCTTTATCTCTTCAGTAGCTGCTTCTCTATTCTGTCTTTTCTCTCATTGGGAAGTCTAATTTCACCTTAAGCTCTATAAGCTTCTTCATTGCCTTTTTTCTGTATTTTTTCTTCAGATTGTATGCTATTTTCTCATATATTTTTCAATTTACTATTTAGCTATCAAATATTTGCTATTGAAACCATTAAGCAATTCACTTTAGTATAATTTTAGTTGAAAAATTTTTATTTAATATTTTAAAATATTCTCTATTGTTATGCTCATATTATAGAACTTTGAATTTATTTCTATATATATAGTAATTATATTTACTATTATACTACATTCACAGAATTCTAAGATATATATTAATGTGGGTTTTATTGTTATCTACATTTTATTCTCAAACTTCTCTGTCTTGTTTTTGTTTCTATTTAGAGATGGGTCCTCCCTATGTTATCCAGGCATAATGCAAATGCCTAAGCACAAGCAATGCTCCCATCTCAGCTTCCCAAGAAGCTAGAGCTACAGGTATGAACCACTACACTTGGTATGTCTTATTTTATCATGTCTAGTTCTTTGATGTTTTCTTTTGCTCTGTTGAAATATAAAATAATATTGCTCTTAACTGAATTTGAGTATAAACATTAATGAATTTTTACACATGTATAAACCTTCATGAACCTAATTCACATCAAGATCTAGAACACTTATAACAAGCCAAATGCTCCCTTATGCCTGTTTCAGGTACATTTGCCTCAGAGAATACAGTGTTATTTTGAATTCTGTCAATGAAGGTTGATTGTGTCAAAGAGGGTTATATTCAAGTAATGTTTTAAAAAAATGGAATATTACGGAATGTATTTTTTATGTCTGGGCCCCGTTGTTGAACCTTACATCTATGAGATTCATTCAAGTGTTCACAAGCAACAGTTTTTTTATTATTATTGACAGTAGTATTAGTTACCATTCTGTAAATATGACATGGTATGTTTAGTGTAATGTTAATGAATATTGAGGTGGTACTGGTTTGGGCTTATTTTGAAGAAGACTGTTGTGAACAATTCTCCTTATGCCTTTTCTTTACTATAGGCACATAATTTTTCAGGATATTGTATTAGTTATATTCACAGAGTTGATAAAGACATGAGACTGGGGGGGGGGGAGGGTTTAATTGGACTTACAGTTCCACATGGAGGCACAACTTTTTTTTAATATATTTTATTTCATTTGAGGTTTGGGGGTACATGTGAAGAACATGCAAGATTGTTGCATAGGTACATACATGGCGGTGTGATTTGCTGCCTTCCTCCACATCAAATATATCTGGCATTTCTCCCCATGTTATCCCTCCCCAACCTCCCAACCCCCTTGCTATCCCTCCCTTAGGTCCCCCACACAGACCCCAGACTGTGATGCTCCCCTCCTTGTGTCCATGTGTTCTCATTGTTCAACACCTGCCTATGAGTGAGGAAATGCAGTGTTTGATTTTCTGTTCTTGTGTCAGTTTGCTGAGAACGATGGTTTCCAGGTCCATCCATATCCCTAGAAAGGACACGAACTCATTATTTTTTATGGTTGCATATTATTCTATGGTGTATATGTGCCACATATCCCCTGTCCAGTCTATCATCGATGGGCATTTGGGTTGGTTCCAATCTTTGCTGTTGTAAACAGTGCTGCAATGAACATTCCTGTGCATGTGTCCTTATAATAGAATGATTTATAATCCTTTGGATATATACCCAGTAATGGGATTGCTGGGTCAAATGGAATTTCTATACCTAGGTCCTTGAGGAATCGCCACACTGTCTTCCACAATGGTTGAACTCATTTACACTCCCATCAACAGTGTAAAATTGTTCCTATTTCTCCACATCCTCTCCAGCATCTGTTGTCTCCAGATTTTTTAATGATCACCATTCTAACTGGCATGAGATGGCATCTCAATGTAGTTTTGATTTGCATTTCTCTAATGACCAGTGATGAGTATTTTTTCATATGTTTCTTGGCCTCATGTATGTCTTCTATTATAAAGTCTCTGTTCATATCCTTTTCCTACTTTTGAATGGGCTTTTTTCTTGTAAATCTGTTTTAGTTCTTTGTAGATTCTGGATATTAGCCCTTTGTCAGATGGGTAGATTGCAAAAAATTTTTCCCATTCTGTTGGTTGCCTATTCACTCTAATGACTGTTTCTTTTGCTGTACAGAAGCTATGGAGTTTCATTAGATCCCATTTCTCTATTTTGGCTTTTGTTGCCAATGCTTCTGGTGTTTTAGTCATGAAGTCCTTGACTATACCTATGTCTCAAATGGTTTTGCCTAGATTTTCTTTTGGGTTTTTATGGTGATAGGTCTTATATTTAAGTCTTTAATCCATCTGGAGTTAATTTTTGTGTAAGATGTCAGGAAGGGGTCTAGTTTCTGCTTTCTGCACATAGCTAGCCAGTTTTTCCAACTCCATTTATTAAACAGGGAATCATTTCCCCATTGCTTGTTTTTGTCAGATTTGTCAAAGATCAGATGGCTGTAGATGTGTGGCATTGCCTCCAAGGCCTCTGTTCTGTTTCATTGGTCTGTATCTCTGTTTTGGTACCAGTACCATGCTGTTTTATTACTGTAGCCTTGTAGTATACTTTGAAGTCAGATAGTGTGAGGCCTCCAGCTTTGTTCTTTTTGCTTAGAATTGATGGCCGGGCGCAGTGGCTCATGCATGTAATCCCAGCACTTTGGAAGGCTGAGGCTGGTGGATCACGAGGTCAAGCGATTGAGACCATCCTGGTCAACATGGTGAAACCCCGTCTCTACTAAAAATACAAAAAATTAGCTGGGCATGGTGGTGCATGCCTGTAATCCCAGCTACTCAGGAGGCAGAGGTTGCAGTGAGCTGAGATTGTGCCATTGCACTCCAGCCTTGGTAACAAGAGCGACACTCCGTCTCAAAAAAAAAAAAAAGAATTGACTTGGCTATCTGGGCTCTCTTTTGATTCCATAAGAAGTTTAAGGTGGTTTTTTTTTCCAGTTCTGTGAAGAAGGTCATTGGTAGCTTGATGGGGATAGCATTGAATATGTAAATTACTTAGGGCATTATGGTCATTTTCATGCTATTGATTCACCTTACCATGAGCATGGAATGTTTCTCCATCTGTTTGTGTCCTCTCTTACTTTGTTGAGCAGTGGTTTGTTGTTCTCCTTGAAGAGGTCCTTTACGTTCTTTGTTAGATGTATTCCTAGGTATTTTATTCTCTTTGTAGCAATTGTGAATGGCAGTTCTTTCTTGATTTGGCCCTCTTTAAGTCTGTTATTGGTGTATAGGAATGCTTGTGATTTTTGCACATTGATTTTGTATATGGCTATTTCCTGAAGTTGCTTATCAGTTTCAGGAGATTTTGGATTGAGATGATGAGCTCTTCTAAAGATACAATCATGTTGTCTGCAAATAGAGACAATTTGACTTCTTCCTTTCCTAATTGATTGCCCTTTATTGCTTTTTCTTGCCTGACTGCTCTGGCTAGAACTTCCAGTACTATATTGAATAGGAGTGGTGAGAGAGGGCATCCTTGTCTAGTGCCAGATTTCAAAGGGAATGCTAACAGGTTTTGCCCTTTGACAAAATTAAATGCTAAAAACCCTCAATAAACTCGGTATTGACAGAATGTATCTCAAAATAATAAAAGCTATTTACAACAAACCAACAGCTAATATCATACTGAATGGGCAGAAACTGAAAGCATTCCCTTTGAAACTGAAAAATAAGATGCTCACAGAAAGCTCTGATGAGCAGTGACACATTTCTGAAACATAAAAGGCTACACAAGCTTAGGAAAGATCTGAGAAGGCCCTAAGCCCTCACCTCTAGGTAACTTTGAGAGCCTATGAGAGCAGGACATTACCTTTCTCTAGCCAAAAATGTCTGCAGATAAGAAAATGTTTAGGGGGTAGATTATTTAAAACAAAACTATGGCCTTATTATGAATTTTCAACTGTAGGTGTATTCTAATCCTTTCTACAAACCTTCATTATGGCCTTTAGGCTTCAACTGAAGTAAAAGTGCTTACTTGGTCTTCCTTACCTGAACAGCTCTGAACTCCATTTAATTTCCTCTAACTCTGGAAATTTGCCAAAAATTCTTTCCCAATTCTAAAGTTTCTAAAAGAAATTTTTTATTCAACATTTTGGCCTCTCAGCTCCTGTTTTCAAATCAGTAATTATTTCAAGTTAAATTGCATAAAATATAAGGCTTCCCAATATGAATTTTCTAAACTCTCTGTTATCCTGTCTCTACAAATTTTACAATTTTCCATAAAAATACATACTTGCATATATATGTGAGAAGGAGATGGGTAACTGAGAGGGAACAACAGAGAGAGAAACAGATATAAGCAAAGACATTCAGTAACAGTTATTTATTTATTTATTTATTTATTTATTTTTGAGACGGAGTTTCGCTCTTGTTACCCAGGCTGGAGTGCAATGGCGTGATCTTGGCTCACCGCAACCTCCGCCCCCTGGGTTCAGGCAATTCTCAGCCTCCTGAGTAGCTGGGATTACAGGCACGCGCCACCGTGCCCAGCTAATTTTTTTTTTGTAATTTTTTAGTAGAGACGGGGTTTCACCATGTTCAACAGGATGGTCTCGATCTCTTGACCTCATGATCCACCTGCCTCGGCCTCCCAAAGTGCTGGGATTACAGGCTTGAGCCACTGCGCCTGGCCCAGTACCAGTTATTTCTTAAAAATTTCTGGTCATTATACTGAAACTTCATTTGTAGATGACAGGATTTTCTACTTGAAAATCCATGAAAGATAACCCAAAATTACTAAAATTACCAAAGAATTTAATCTTCAGTATTTACAAGAATTTGGGAAAATAGTCTTTCTATTATATTCAGGGTAGAAAAGTAAACACATATGTAAGTTTTAGTAAACTATATTCCAGTATTTATGAAAACTATAAGATTCTATACATGATGGTACAGCCATTCATATCTATAAAACCACCTTGAAGAAATAGTATCAGAACAGTATAAGATGTATGCATCTAGTAGCATTTGTACTAAACAACAGTTCAAAAATAACCTAAACATCCTTGAAGATGGAAATAATTCTTAAACTATGGAATAGCCATCTAATAGGATACTGTGAGTTATGTTTATTTATATTGCTTCTTAAAGTATCTATAATATGTTATTAAATGTCACCTCCAAATCACAGCTATATTCTACATACACACATAAAAACACACACATGTATTTTTGTTTGTGTATGTTCAAATACATATTCCCCTCTTCTTTGCCTTAATATGTCTGTACATCTGTGCGTGTCCACATATGTGTGTATTTAACCACTAAGGGAAAAAAGAAAAGATATCCTGGGACAGACTGGCTAATTCAAGTTTATCTCACATTATTCCCTTTGGCTGGAATGAGCTTCCTTTTTTTGCTACATGTATACACATACACATACATGCAAAAATAAACACATACACAGCTTATATATCTAACACATACGCATATACACATGTAATTATATTTTAATAAACACTGGGAAAAGACAGAAGGTATATGAGTTAATCTGTCAAGACATCATTCCCATAGACAGATAGGAGTAAGAGATTAATAAAGTTCATGTTTTAATACTTTTAACTTTTTAAAAATCTCATAGGATAATTTCTGATTTTTCATTTGTGGTAGCAAAGCCAAATATGTCATTTATAGAGTGCTTTCCATTTCATATGCACTACAGATATAATGTAGCTTATCATTTTAGGATTATGTTACAAGCAGAATTTTATTGGAGATTAAAAAATAAATTTCCTTTCATACAGGGAAAATTGGAATGGATTTTGAAGGATGGGTAAAATTAAAAGAGACAGGGCTCAGAGATGGCCTTCCTGCTTTTAAGGAAGGAGCAAATGATGGTTGACACACAGGCCAGGAAACAGCTGGCTTTTTCACATGAGACTGAAGGGCCTTGCTCTAGCAGCCTGACATTTCATCAGACTGGAATAAAACAAAGCTCATAGAAGGGTGGTACAGAGCCAAGCCCTTTGTGAACTGGGGTGGTGTCAATATCCTTTGGATCAACCAGAGGTTTCAAGGTAAAATTCTGCAAAATGGTGGTCAGGTTTAAAAACAGCTCCATGCGGGCCAGGCCTTCTCCAGCACAAGCTCTTTTTCCTAAAAGTAACCCACAAGTTCATTACTCATTTAATTCTGCAGCTGAGTTAGAACACAGAAAGGATTAAATTAATATGGAATGAAGAAATATATTAATAAATGAATAATGAACCTACAGCTTTTTCTACTTACACCCAAACCTGGTTTCATTTTTTTAGCAGCCATATCTGGGTGGGTACTACATGAAAAATATTTTTTGTACATGCACATTGGAACTGCTGTGCTTCAGCTTGCCAGTGACACCTTTACACACACACACACACCTATCACAACTAGCATGATACACAACACTGTATCTAGTTCTCCATATACTTCTGACCCTAGACTTGACAAATAAATAGATTTATTCATTCTCATCTGGATTCTAAAGGATAATCAATCCTGCCACATACCTGCTTTTAAAAAAGTGATTGAGAGCTTATTATTGCCAGCTATAAAAAGAAATGTCACCAACTGGCCACAGGCAATTCCTAGGGAGTCGTTTCTTTCCACATCTTCCACCCAGTTCCCATCACTTCAGTCATTACTGATCATTCACCACTCCATAAACAGACAGGCAATTTCAAAAAGCCTCCATGCAGAGCCCTTCCTTATCTCACTTGACTCCTAATGTACACATAAAAAGAAAAAAGAAAGCTTGCTTGCCTGTTGAAAAAGGCATGAAATAATCACTCTTTTTAAAGTTGCCATTTTCATCCAGGAAGTGGCCAGGGTCAAACTTCTCTGGACTGGGAAATTCCTTGTCATCGTACAGGACAGAAGTCAGATCTGCTAATATTGTTGTGCCCTGAATGAAAGAGAAAAAGATAAATCAGATCAAAATACAGTGTTCATATGATGCAAAAGCCATAAATAAGAAAGGCCGACATTTTGTATGTGTGGATTCTGCAGGGCTGACTATGGGACTTGAGTTTATGTGGTTTTTACTATCTACAAAGAGTCCTGCAACCAATTCCTGATGAATTCCAAGGGTAGACTTTAAATTAAAACCTGTCAAAAGAGACAAAGAAGGTGATCAATATGATGACTAAGGAGAATTTCATCAAGTGGATATAAAAATTATAAATGTACATGCACTTAACATCAAAGCACTTAAATATATGAAGAAAATATTAATAAAGGGAGAGACAGACTCCAAAATAATAATAGAAAACACCCTATTTTCAGCAATAGACAGATCATTCAGACATAAAAATCAACCAAAAAACAATTGTGTTAAATTGCGCCTTTGACCTGACTTAGTAGGTACCCACAGTACATTCTACCCAACAGCTACAAAATATACACTAAACAGTGTATAACAGTGTAAAACACTCTCCAGTATAAATCATATGGTAGCCACAAAACAAGTTTCAACAAATTTTTTTAAAGTAAAAAATCAAGTATTTTTTTTCTGAAAACTGCAATAAAACTAAAAATCAAGAAGAATGGAAAGTATACAAATACCTAAAAATTAATCCTCATGTTTATAAAGAACCAATGAGTTAATTTAAAAATTAAGAGAAATATTTTACAAATTCTTGACTAATTATAAGGAAAGTACAATGTACCAAAACCTATGATATACAGTAGAAGCAGTGCTAAGAATGGAGTTAAAAACAACCCATTATTTTTGTTTTGTTTTGTTTTGTTTAAGATGGGAGTTTCACTCTTGTTACCCAGGCTGGAGTGCAATGGCGCAATCTCGGCTCACCACAACCTCCGCCTCCTGGGTTCAGGCAATTCTCCTGCCTCAGTCTCCTGAGTAGCTGGGATTACAGGCACGTGCCACCATGCCTGGCTAATTTTTTGTATTTTTAGTAGAGACGGGGTTTCACCATGTTGACCAGGATGGTCTCGATTTCTTGACCTCGTGATCCACCCGCCTTGGCCTCCCAAAGTGCTGGGATTACAGGCTTGAGCCACCACGCCCAGCCAAAAACAACCCTTAAATCAAAAAGAGAATGATCTCAAAATAACAATCTGATCCTAAAACATAAGAAACTAGAAAAACAAAAACCAAATTCAAAATAAGTAGAAGCACAAAAATAGTAAATATTACAGCATATTCAATAAAATACACAATGAATATAGGAACTAGGTAAGATACAAAGAAGTCAATGAAAGAGTGAGTTTTGGGGTTTTTTTGGAAATGATAAGCAAAACTGACAAACCTTCAGCTAGATTATGAAGAAAGAGGGAAGATCAAAATAAGTAAAATGAAAGACAAAAAAGAGCCATTACAACTGGACCACAGAAATGCAAAATATCATTAGAGACCATTATTAACAAATACGTGCTTACAAATTAGATAATCTAGAAGGAACTGATAAATTTCTGGACTCATATAATGTACCAAGATTGGATCACAAACAAATAAAAAAACCTGAATAATTGAGTATTGAAATTTATAATTGAAAGTTAATAATTTTTTAATTGAAAGTTAATTTTATTATATTGAAAGTTAATAATTGAGTAATGAAATTAAATTAGTAATAAAGATCTCCCACCATAAAAAAGCCAGACTATTTTTTTATATTCACTGCTGAATTCTACCAAATTTAAAAACACCAAGAAAAGTTTATTTCAAATCCTTCTAAAAAATTGAAATGGAGGAAATACTTCCAAACTCATTCTATGAGGCCATTATTCCTCTGATATCAAAGACACAACAAAAAAAGGAAAACCGCAGGCCAATGTCTCTGAAGAACATAGATGCAAAAAATCTTAACAAAATATAAGTAGGCTGGACACAGTGGCTCACGTCTCTAATCCCACCACTTTGCGAGGCAAAGGCAGGCAGATCACCTGAGGTCAGGAGTTCAAGACCAGCCTGACCAACATGAAGAAACTCCATCTCTACTATAAATAAAAAATTAGCCAAGTGCAATGGTGCATGCCTGTAATCCCAGTTACTTGGAAGACTGAGACAGGAGAATTGCTTGATCCCAAGAGGCAGAGATTACTGCAAGCTGAGATTGCACAACTGCACAACAGCCTTGACAACAAGAGGGAAACTCCATCAAAAAAAAAAAAAAATATATATATATATATGTATACAAGCAAACTAAATTCAACAACAAATCAAAGAGATTCTTCAACATCATCAAGTGGGATTCATCCCAGGGATGCAAAGGTGGTTCAACATACATGAATCAATACAAGAGATAGATAATATAAACAAAAGGAAAGATAAAAACCATGTGAATATCTCAATAAACATAGAAAAAGCATTTGATTTAATTCATCTTCCCTTCATAATAAAAACATTCAAAAACATGTATTGAAGGAATGTACTCCACCATAACAAAAGCCATGTAGAACAAATCCATGACCAACATCTTACTGAACATGAAAAAACATTTTATCTAAGACTTGAAACAAGACAAAGATGCTTATTTTTACCACATGTATTCCACATAGTACCAGAAGTCCTGGTGTTCAGGTAAGAAAACAAAAGTTAAATATCTAAGAATAAATTTAATTGAGGAGGTGAAAAGTCTATACAATGAAAATTATAAAATACTGAAAAAAATGGAAGATTCAAATAAATGGACATATCCTTGTTCACTGACTGAATTCCTAAAATATTCATACATACTATCCAAAACAATCTACAGATTCAATGCACTACCTATAAAAATAAACATGACATTTTTTCACAGAAATAGAAAAAGCAACCTTTATATTTGTGTGGAACTACAAAAGACCCTGAATAGACAAAGTCATCTTGAGGAGGAAAAACAAAAACAAAAAAACCAAAGCTAGTGAGGTCATACTATCTATATAACTTCAAAACATATAACAAAGACCAGGCATGGTGGCTCAGGCCTGTAATCCCAGCACTTTGGGAGGCTGAGGCAGGCAGATTACTTGAGGTTGGGAGTTCAAGACCAGCCTGGCGAACATGGTGAAACACCATCTCTACTAAAAATACAAAAAATAGCCAGGCATGGTGGTGGGTGTCTATAGTCCCAGCTACTCAGGAGGCTGAGACAGGAGAATCACTTGAACCTGGGAGGCAGAGGTTGCAGTGAGTTGAGATCGCACCACTGCACTACAGCCTGAGTGACAAAGTAGAACTACATCTCAAAAACAAAAAATACACACACATATATAACAAAGTACCAAAACAACATGGCACTGACATAAAAAGAAAGGCACAGATGAAGAAAATAGATGAGAAAGTCCAGAAAGGAGAAGGGATCCAAGATGGCTGATTAGGAGCAGCTCTGGATTGCAGCTCCCAGTGAGAGCATGGAGGGTGAGTGGATGCTGCATTTCCAGATGGATTTTTATTGCCCATAGACCAGGAGATTCCCAGGCAGAGGAGCCTCACAGATCATGAGTGCAGCTGTTTTGGCTGGTGTGGCAGGTCTCCGGGTGCTGTTTTAGCTGGCAATTGGAGCGCCTAGGAGACAGAGTTACCCGTTCAACTGATAAAAAGGAAACTGAGACAGGGAGCCAGGCCAGGAGATTCCCAGGTGAAAAAGTGCCATGAATCTCCAGTGTGGCTGTTTCAGCCAGCACAGTGGGTCACCACATGGGAAATCACATAGATCCTGGTGCCCTTTCAACACACAACTGAAACACCTGGAAGACAGAGTCAACTGTTCAACTGAATAAAAGGGACTGAAACAGGGAGCCAGGCCAGGAGATTCCAGGGCAAAAAAGTGTCCCAAGCCCCCAGTGTGCCTGTTTCAGCTAGCACAGTAGGTCTCTACACAAAATATCACACAAATCCAGGTGCCTTTCCAACTAGTGACTGGAACTCCTGGGAGAGAGAGTCACCTTTTCAACTGAAAAAATGCAGACTGAAACAGGGAGCTAGGACAGGAGATTCACCGGCAAAAAAGCACCCTGAGTCTCCAGCGGCTGTTTGAGCTGGTGCAGCGGGTCTATGCACAAGAAATCACACAAACAAAGGCACAGTTTCAACTGGTGACTGAGACACCTGGGAGGCAGAGTTGCCCATTCAACTGGGAAAAAAAAGGCGTCTGAGGCAGGGAGCCACGTGATTAGGCTTGGACAGTCCCACCCCCACAAAAATCAGCAATCTGAAATGCTATGGATTGAGAGTTTCACAGCAAGCACAGCTGAACCCAGGATGGTCCAGCTTTGTGGGGGAGGGGCATCCACCATTACCAATGCAGTCCACCAGTACCGAGGTAGTCCGCCATTGCCAAAGCAGCCCACCATTGCCGAGGCTGTCCACCATTACAGAGAGAGTCCATCATTACAGAGGTGGGCCGCCATTGCTGAGGCAGTTCTAAATATACCCCTATAAACAGGACTGCAGGGAAGTTCACACAGCAGCTGGAAGAGTCCACAACAGCTCAGCAAACACTCTACAGGCAGACTCTGACTAGGTAGCCTCCTCGCTGGGCAGGGCAGCCCTGAAAAAAGGCAGCAGCATGACAGAAACTTATAAGTAAAGCCCTACCTCCCTAGGAGAGAGCATCTAGAGAAAAAAAAAGGCATTTATGAGTTCTGCTGCAGCAGACTTAAATGTACCTGCCCAGCAGCTCTAGATGGAACAACAGAGCTCACAGCTCAGCACTTGAGCTCCTATAAAGAACAAACTGTCTCCTCAAGCAGCTCCCTGATCCCCCTATAGCAAAAGAGTCACCTCATAAAGAGCTCAGACTGACATCTGGAGGGTTTCCTTCTGGGACAAAGATAGTAGAAGAAACTGTTAGCAACCCTTACTGTTCTGCAGCCACTGCAGGTGATCCCCAGGCAAGCAGGGCCTGAAGTGAACCTTCAACAGTCCTACAGTATAGAGGCCTGACTGTTAGACAGAAAACT